GGCAAGACTCGTCTCCTCAGTGACCATACAGAGGATAACACATAGGGAGCTAATTACCCAGCTCTCTATTAATAGAAGCATTTTTGCAACATGAATCTACCACTGAAGGTGTTAATGAGGATGAGGGAGTGGATGGTTACCTCTGCTAAAGGCATCACTTTCCTCCGCCTGGAAATGTACATTTGTTATTCCAGTTACGAACCAGAGCTGACTAAGTGGATCGCGATTGCTAGAATCACAAACCAATGAAACATTTAGTTTACCTCCCCTGCCGTTCATAGCTTAACGTCTCTAGCTAGCACGTCAGGAAGAAACTCTCCACGATCAGTCATTCCAGCCACACTTTGTAGGGAAGGATGCAGATTTTCCAAACCAGAACTTAAACCATTTTCCTCACTCCCTGTGACATATGCACCTCTTAAATGATAATATGCCTCAATAAGATACCTGTTTCATGTGAACAATTCTGGATGCAGAGCTTTCGTGCTGATTTTGCTAACTGTTATGGCTTATATCTAGATGTCCTCCCAAAGCTTCATACACGCAGAGGTGGGGCTTTGGAGAGGTGACCAGATCACGGGTATGTAGTATTGGATTACCTCACTGATTGGTTACACACTATTAAATTTGTTTTCTTTTTCCTTAATTGTCAGTGCTTCCTGCCTGCTACACCTTGGACTCTTTCTCCTCTCTTGTTCCTTGTAATGATTCTTCTACAATCTAGGAAGGTAATGTCTGCCTCCTGGATACTATATGCGATCACGTGGATAATTCAGACAATACAGGAAGACACTTTTATCTAAGAATGGCTTTTGCCTTGTTGTCTGTAACCTTATTTTCAGACAATGCAAGTAAGAAGCTTTTCATGATTAGCATGATGGTGCACAAATGCTACTATGTTCACTCGTACTTATTATACATTGCTCCAGTGTGGATCATTGCTCTTTACACTGAGAATCATCTATTTGGGGGAAAACACTCATTTTAACTCAATAGTCATAGCCTCCAACTACAGTGTGGCTACAATATCTTAAATCTCTGGTTCTAGGAGAAAATGATAGAAAACTCTATATAATCACTACTCCGATCAGGCTTGAAAGCAATAAAATTTTTTGGTTACCTCTCAAAGTCCTCCCAAGGAGACTATTGAATGCCTCACAATATGTTCATACGACTAAATCATTTCTGCCAAAACATAACACAGTACCATAAGAGTTGTCTCAGAACATCATTTTTGTATAACAGGTATTAATTTATACACTGCCTGTTTCTGAGAGGTTGCTGGAGGTGGACAATAATATACAGACATCCAGGTGTGTCCAGTAAATTAATGCCACCTCGTGACCTAATTACTTGTGACTGTGTCCCATCATCACCTTGACACTGTCATCCTGTGCACCAAGTCTACCATGCTGACCTAAGGAAGGTACCGACAATATTCAAACCACAGCAGACACCCAACTAATGAGCATGTATACCTTACTCCTATACCAAATAATTTGTAACAAAGGTATACAAAATAGACTCAATACTCAATTGCAAAACCAGTGATGTTAAAGATACCATATCATACCTGTACTATCATGAACAGATTCCTTCTCCAGACTCTTGTAACTACAAAAATAATGGTTGAGGGACTTGCTAAACACTGTTGGTTTTGGAGAGAAGACTCTTTATGCACACAAGATATTGATGAGGGAACACAGAGACTTCCACACCAGGAAGTGACAATGTTACTTCTGGAGTGAGCCATGCTCCACCTTTCTCACCAGCCCATAACTAATTAGCACTCACACACCTTAAAATGCTTAGCTTCTACTTTCACTCTGGATTTCTGTCTCTTAGCACACACTTCCATCATAAGAACTTTCATTGCTTGGCTTCACACTTTGGCATCACGCAATTTAATTCTCATCAACATGACGAGTTCTGTGTCTCTTATCATCTCTATATTATGCAAGTATCTCTCAAATCTTCCAAAAAGTTGCTGTAAAGACCAGAGGTCTAGTTTTCAGGTAAAATTTCTATTTCTCTTTAATTTTGTGGAGTGGGGCACGGAGCCCAGGTCCTTCCATGTGCTGACACATTCCCTTGAGTCTGCATTTCTCCTCAAAGTACTCTCTCCTAAGTTACAAATAGAAAAAAATAAAAAATATGTGACCATTTGCTTCTTTTGAATAGCAATTATTCCTATATAGCCCCAACAGTCTACCTATTCAATTCTGTTTCTTTAGCCTCATCTTGATTATCAGTATGACTGGCTTGGGAAATGCCCAGAAAATTAGTAAATTTCCAGATGCATCAGTGAGGGCTCCAACTTTGTCAATGATTTACCCATTAATGAGTTCGCAGCGTAACGGACTTAGTAAGAGAGGGGGCTGATTGGATGAAGCAAGCCACTAGGGACATGGTTTTGAAAGGTGCGTTTTGTCTCATTTCCCTTCTTCTGTGATTTTCTACCTCTCTGCTTCTTGGCTGCCGTGAGGTGAGCAGCTTTCATCCACCACACCCTTCTGCCATGATGCTTCAGCCTCAAAACATATCCACAGCCATGGACTGAACCAACCACAGACTGAAACCTTAGTAACTATGAGTGGAAATCAGCCTTTCCTTTTTTCTCTATGTTGACTTTTCTGGGTGTTTTATTACAGTAACAGAAAACTAAGAAGTCTCTATGGATTCTATAATATACTATAGGTACCTGTTCATATAACTCACAACTTTGTCTATTTTTCCATTGGCAGGTATTCCATTTGCTAAATTCAACCTTCAGAACTATGATCAAAAGCTATTTAAAGACACCAGAGAAATAATCCACTTAGCCCAGTTCACTCACACAATTTTTTGGCTCAAACATTAGCCTAAAATATTCTGGATCTTTCTACGTTACTTATACTCCAAGCACAATCTCTGAGACTTAATAAATGCCACTATTTTTCTGTACCAGTTTGCCATACTGAGGATTAATGACCAGGGTGACACAGGACCCTGTGGGTAGCAGATATTTTCCATGGAATTGCCTCAGAAGTACAGGACATGAGGTACAGGCAAAACTACTTGAATCAGAGCCTCATAGCATCACAATTTCTTTAAATGTGTTCCCTGTCATTCCCTGCATCACTACAGCAGCCAGTCTGGTGAGAGACACCTATGCAGTATGGAAAGAGCAGTTGCATGACAGTAATCATACAGTTTTTCCACCTCGCTTGGGAACAAGCAAGATTCATTTATTAAGAGCTTGCTTTTCATATATTTATTTTCTTTTTAAAAAAGATTAATATAAAAGAGGACATAACAACACAGGTCAGAACGGAACAATTTAAGCAACATACTATATTTCACCACAAGACAATCCAACATAACAGTAGCTACCATAGTGTCTCTTTCCTTGAAATATTTGAGTATACCTTCATACACTCTGGTATCAAACATAAAAATATAGTGTAAAACCATTCAAGAGAATGAAAGTATTACATGGCATTCAGAACCAACTAGCCAACTAAATTAAAATCTAAATGGGTCAAAGATCTGAATATTAAAACAGAAACACTAAATGTATTAGAAGACAAATTGGGTAGATACCTTGAAGACACAAGGGTAGGTAGAGAATTCATGAACAGGACTCAAACCACATGGGGAATACTTCCCAGAATCAACAACTGAGATCGCCTCTTATTAAAAAGTCTCTGCACGTCAAAAGAAATCTCTAGCATAGTGAAAAGAAAACCTACAAACTGGGAAACAATCTTAGTGAACTTTGTGCTCAGACAAAGGACTTCTGTCTAAAACATATAAAGAATTTTTAAAAATCAGACCTTTAAAATTCAAAGATCCAATCCAAAAATGGGCATCTGAGATGAATGCACATATTTATTTTCAATTTGTCTTTCTTCATCTCAGAAGTGTGTATTCATCGCAGACACCCATTTTTGGATTGGGTCTTTGAACAGGGGGGGGGTCCTCAATTATTTTAATTTTTATATGTTCTAGATAGAAGTCCATCTGAGGGACAGTTGGTTAAAACTTTTCCCCAACTCGTGGGTTTTCTTTTCACTCTGTTGGTGATCCCTTTCGAGGTACAAAAACTTTTTAATAATATGAGATCCCAGTTGCTGATTCTTTGAAGTATTTCCTGTGGAATTTGGTTTTTGTGCGTGAACTCTCTGAGAAATACAAAACAAAACAACACTAAGATTTTTCTCACCCCATAGAATGGCTATGATCAAAACAATCATCCAGTAACAAATGCTGATGGGGCTGTGGGAAAAAAGGAACCCTTCTCCCTTGCTGGTTGGACTGTAGAGTTTTGCAATCAGTGTGGAGATTCTTCAAACACCTAGGATTGAGGGTTTCTTTTGATTCAGCTATTTCTCTTCTGGGAATTTTCCCAGAAGAAATGAAAACATCACACCACAGTGATATATGTGCACCCATGTTTATAGCACCACAATTAGTAACAGCTAAATCTGGGAAACAACCCAAATGTCTATCAACTGAGGAATAGATAAAACAGATGTGGTGTTGCTATACAATGGAATACTACTTGGTTATAAAGAAAGATAAACTCGAGGCTCTTATAGGTAAATGGATGGGATGAGAAATCAGGCTCCTAAGTCTGAAATAAATCAGACTCAGAAGGGTAAATATCATATTGTCTCCCTATTGGAAAAAACTAAAACAGTAAGATCCCAAAGGTACATCAGATAGTGTGGAAAGGAAAGAAACTGCTCACAAGGAAAGAACTGTGATGGGAGAAAGGAGAAAAGGAAAGGAAATACACACACACACACAGCTAAGATAATCGTATACTCCTTCTGTTAGTTCATTGAAAGGGAATAGTGAGCACTTCTCCTTTTTCGATCAATCTTGCATGCCTGTGTCTGGTCATCTCAGCTACTATTTTGAAGATAACAATAGGCACTATAGCAACCATTGCTAATATCTTGTCATCTCATTTTGAAAAGCCAAAGAGTATCCTGAGCAGAAAAGGGGACACCCACCTTCGTATGAACCTGGTGGCTTCCAGCGTCATCCTCTGAGTGAGGTTTTCAAAGGACATGGGCTGTTGCCTGATCTCATAGTTCCGCATCAGGAAGCAGTTAAAGGGCCGGAAATAGTGAAGGAAACACAGGAACGGGGAGACGATCAGGCCCACCAGGAGGAGGAGGGCGATGAAGACCCAGATGGGCACATGGATCAGCCTCAGGAAGTGGAGCACGGCCAACGTGAACACAGTGACCCCTAGGATCTGCAGCGGGAAGAACACCAGCCACCAGTACGCTTCGGAGAAGACTGTGCCTGACCCGGGTTTGCAGTCCCGCAAGTTGGTCATAGGAAACCCATAGAAGTAATCGAAGCCATGGCGTAAAGGGTGGTGGCAAAAGTCAGTTGTGTTGTAACAGTTTATCCCAAGGTGCCACTTCCCTGAGGACACAGATGGATGAGACCTTTAGTTCCAGTAAATGCCCTAGATGGAAGGCAACCTTCTAAATCCACATCCCAGAAAACATGTTCTAGCCAACTATTTTATGACCCAGGTTTTCCACCCATAGCTCCCCATAGGATTTCACATTTTATCCCACAAACAGCAACTTATTAGCCACGTAATGCTAGAAGAAAAGAAAACCAGCTTTGCACTGCCCCAAAAGATAATGAAGAAAACCAAAGCAAGCAAAAGCTTTAGTGTAAAATCACTTAGTCCACTTTAATAGGCACAAAATTCTGTAGAAACACACAAGTAGATTTTCTTTCTGTCTTTTCTATTTTCTTTTGGAGACATGTCCTTAGACAAATTATGACAAAATTGGCTATAGTTTATGTGTTAAAGTTGTTTCTCAGCTTTTCACTGTTGGGAGGTGGGACAGGAAGTGAGATCACAGGAAAAGAGGTCACAGGAAGTGAGGTCATAGGAAGTGAGGGGGCACAAAATGGACTTGAAAGACATTGTGGGACCTAGCCTTTTCCTCTTACTCTCTTCTTCTTGCCATGAGGTAAGCGATTTTGCTTTACCATGTCCTCCCACCATGATAGACCACCACAGGATCAAGACCATGGGGCTAACCAACTATGCACTGAAACTTCTGAAATTGTGAGCCAAATAAATCTTCTCTCTTATTAACCTGATTACTTCAAGTGTTTGGCACAGTGACAAAAATCTGAGTACATATCATTATACTTTCTAAAAGTAGAATGAAAATCTTTTATCAACAACAAAGTGTGTACATTTGGAAACTCTGTATAAGCATCTTGTTGTCTGTGTATGATTTATGTCATCTGTGTTCTGTTTAGCCTATCCATCGACCCATCTATCCATCCATCCATCCATCCATCCATGCTTCTTTCTGTCTCTGTATGTGCATATAATTTAGTTCATCTATCTGTGATCTGTTTATCTTATCCTTCTATCACCATAATCTCTCCTATCTATGATGATTATCTCATTATCGTCCTTCTCTAATTATTCCTTTGTCTATCCATCATTCCATCTGTCTGCTATATATTCATTTATCATTATCACATCTATGATTTCTCCATCAATCAAGTCATCCCACCCACTTAAATGATCTATGTATGTACGTATCCATCCAACCGTCCATCCATCCATCCATCTATCCACCTACACAAGTGATTGAGTGATCTATCTATCACATGTCTTGATCTCACCATCCATCCATCCACTCAAATGATCAATGTATGTATCTACTTATGATTTCTCTATCCATCCATCTATCCATCCATCCATCCATCTATCCATCCATCCATATACCTAATCAAATGATCAATCTGTCTATCTACCTACCTATCACATTTGTCTTGATCTCTCCATCCATCCATCCATCCATCCATCCACTCAAATGATCAATGTATGTATGTATCTATGATTTCTCCATCCATCCATCCATATACCTACTAAAATGATCAGTCCATCTATCTATCTGTCTATCTACCTACCTATCACATTTGTCTTGATCTCTCCATCCATCCATCCATCCATCCATCCATCCATCTATCCATCCATATACCTACTCAAATGGTCTATCTATCTATCTATCTAATCTATCATAACTATGATCTCTCCATCCATCCATCTACTCAAATGATAAATGTACATATCTATTTGATTTTTCCATCTATGCATCCACCTATCCATCTATTCATGCACCTACCCACCCAAATGATCTATTTATCTATCTTGTACTATCTATCATCAATTCGTATCATTTATCCACCTATCATATATATTAATTGTTTCCTCAATCTATTCATCCATCATTCCATCTATTTTCTTATCTATTACTATCTCTCCACCTCATTCTTACACACCCACTCACATGCACACACATACATGTACTACTATATAGCCAGAGCATTTTGTCCTCACAGGAATGTGAAGTTTATCGGTGACAGCCCTCTGCAGTTGCCCAAAGCCTCTCCCATTTTCTCCGCTCCAACCTGTCCCATACCGATCAGTGCTGTTGAGTAGCCCTGTTCCTTCAGAAGTCTGGCAAACGTCACCTCACTGGTAGGAAGTCCTCCAGAAGAAGCAGTGAACAGGTAAACTCCCATCCGGCTGTGAGAGGCCATTCCTGAAGCAAGAAAATGCACCTTTAAGAACCAGCAGAACCGTGGCCCTGGAGGAGGACAAAAGCCAGCCACACACAGAAGGTTACCTAAGCGGATGGGGTAGCGGCCTGTCATGAAGGCTGCCCGGCTGGGCGTGCACAGGGGTGATGCGGCCAGGTGCTGTGTCAGTTTCACTCCCCCGCCAGCCAGCCTGTCAATGTTGGGGGTCCTGGAATGAAAGAACCATCTCCTTTAGGATGACCAGCAGCCCAAGTGGTTGTTCAGAGACACCACTAAGATGCTAACAGGAAAACAGCTACTCACGTGCTCCCACCCACACCTTCCGGGGTACCTCAGCACTCGGTCCCTCCATCTCTGGGTTACAAGGGAGGGATCAAGTCCTACAGCAGTGGCAGTTACTATCCTCCCCATTACCTCGGGTCCCTGAGGGCTCGGCTAACCCATCTCCTCTCAGTCACATCCAAGATTCAGCCAGTGTTCCTATCTCGGCCAAATTTCCACACATCCCCAGGGAAAAGCAAGGACTCAGCCTCTCCAAGGATCAATACCAGCCATCACCACCCTCGGGCACTGATGATGGGTCTCTCTGACGCCTCTCTTTTAATTTGGTCCCCATTAAATTTTGTGGAATGAAGCTCCGTACCCAATTTTCCTTAGGTCATCGTTTCCCCATTATTGCACAAGCAAACAAAACTCATCTTGAATGCCTCTCTTCTATGGAGGGCTTTCAACATTTCTGTGCAGTGTCCCTGTGTTAATCACCTGTGGAGAATGTTGTCACACCCCCTATGGAATTCATCCAGCAGCTGCAGTTCCATACCTGAGCGTCTGGTTCCCATAACACCCCAGATCTCCAATGCCAAGGTCATCTGCCATCAACAGGACTATGTTTGGCCTCGATGCTGGCTGGCTCTTGGCTTCCCACAGAAACACTAAGAGGAGGAGACCGACCCGCATCTTCCTGCAGAGGGCAAGGGGACAAAAGAGAGGTGAAGGACACGGCTTCCCCTCCTCCTTCTCTCAGAGCCTGGTTCATCTGGCGCACACTTTGGAAGAGACATTCTTACGTCCCGCCTCCTCCAGGGAGGACGTGCTTGAAAGGCTCTTAAGACTAAGAAAACAGCAAGGATAGAAAAGCACAATCATCTATTTCTTGCACATTTGTTTCCAAAACACATGGCTTCCTCTCAGGCGCTAGCCATGACCTCTCTGTCCCAACCTATACCCAAAACGGGCAGTCTGCTGGGAAGAATGAAAACACTGTCACTTCCCATCAGCCCTTTGTTGAAAGCCATTTCCTTCTTGAGCTAAGAGTTTGTTCTCTGAACCCCGGAAAGGCAGGTCCTTTGTTAGGAATAAATCTGCAATGTCATAATCTTTCTAAAGTGAACCGAGTTTGTGTTTGGCGGATTTTATAAAAGAAATGTGCCCACCCTTCAAAACTGAAAGTGCAAGGCTTGGCAGCCCAGGGCAGTGCTGTGTGCTGTGCTGTATATTACAGGAGAGAATCACCATCACCTACATGCAGTATCTCAGCACGCACTATCTGATGGCATGTCATGCCTTGGAAGCATAAGGGGCTGGAGGAATCTGCAGGTGGACAGTGGCCCACAGACATTGCTGATGATATTCAACAACAAAGGGGATCCTCATGACCCAGCACTGCAAGGCTCAGTAGCGCCCTCCAGCCCCTCTCATCACCATGTTGGTGGGTTTAGGTGCCCATGGGTCAGACTCGAGGGCCTGTCTCTCTCCCCCTTTGGCAGGTGGGCACTGAGGAAGGCAGAGAAGACCTAGCCACAGCCAGTGGCATCAGGGATGGAGAAAGATAAGAGCTGGCATGGTGGAGTGGGACAGTCATGGGTGGGTCCCATGTGGGAGCTGTGGGAATAGGTAGCCACATGGAGAATCACATTCTGCCGTCGCTTCATGGGGGTCTACAACACGCATGCCTCAGAGAATGGCCCGGTGATGCTGCAGAGCACACGGCAAAGGGCTGCTCTCCCAGGCGTAAGGTTCTCTAGTACCCATGCATACTGGCGCTGGTGAAAACATACTATGTGCTTAAATTACAATGAAAAGTGATTACACTAAAAGAGACACTGCCATGAATCCCTCTCATAAATCTTTCCCTTTGCTTCCAACACACTCAGTCCTTTCTTCTGGCACTTTCTGAGAAACAGTTCTGCAAGTCCTCTTTCCTGGAGGTCTTGACCACAAGTATGGTAAGGAATAGGCAGGTACTGCTGCCACATGTCAGCAACAGAAAGGTAGGCTCGATAAAAAAATAATAATAATCATAAGAGTTTCCTCCTCATCTGCATTTTCCAATGGCTCTGGCACTACGTGACTTCTGGCTCATGCCCAAGTCCAAACGACCATGAAAGGTCAACATTTTGAATAGATTCAGGACATCATGGCAGCCAGGACAGTGGAACTGTCCTGGACACTCAGGAAAGAGGACACCAGAGCTGCTGCAGAAGGTGCCTAGAGTGACAGAAAAGTGTGTGCCAAGCCAGGGGGAGGGTCCTGCGGGTCCTCACGGCAGGGTGTCTTTTATCCATTTTTAAAATTTAAACATTTCTCATGATATTCTGCACCTGGTATGTTGGCTTACATGTCAATTTTTGGAATTATGCAGGTGGGAGTAAAGATATTGAGATAAGGACATTTTCTTGGATTATGCAGGTGGACCAATGCAATCCCTGAGGTCCTTACTAAAGAGAGGCAGAGGATGAAGTGTCTCCCTTTACCTTTTCCTCTCCTAGCTTCCCCTCACCTTCCCCTTCTCTTTTTGCTTTTTTTGCTTAAGTAGTGGGGATATTAAAACAAAACAAGGCCCTCCCACACTCTAAGCAGGTTCCTTACCACTAAGCTATATGCCAAGCCCTTTTTCTTTTGAGACACTGTCTCACTAAGTTGCTAAGGCTGGTCACAAACTTGCCGCCCCTTTGCCTCAGCGGTAGAGGAGCTGGGATTACAGGCATGCAAATCGCCATGCCCTGCATTATCTGCAGATGTCACAACCTGGTGCCTCTTTCAGGAGGCTGTTTCTCCAAGAAAGAACCCCTATGTCTCTTGCTGGGAATACAGGCCGTTTTGGCATCAGAAGGAATTCTTGGAATCCCAGTGGATCTGGGTCAAGGGCAACCTTTCAAATTCCTTGTGATGGTTCTCTTGAGTGACACCGTCATTTTCTAGAGCTCTGCAGTGGGCCTCTGCTCCTGTGGTTTCTTACCAGAAACAGCAGCAGAGTAAAGGCTGCCCATCCAAGGCAGCCCATGGCCACCATCCATTCTGTTTCTCAGGCAGAACTTTTGGTTTTTATGTATGCTTTCTCGGCTTCCACATTAATTATTAACTCTCCATGCCAAGGCCGTAGGCAATGTTCTTCTGTAGCTCTCCTCTATGAACCTGTGAGGAGATGCTTACTAAAATTGTTTAATTGAGCCTTTGTGAAGGAGTCCCTACATACCAATTAGACAGCCAGGGTAATGAGTTCCATTTCGGGTCTCTGGAGTGCACAGAAGCAAGATTTCTTAACTTCTGCACTGCTTTCTTTTGGGATGGACGGTCCATTCTAGTAGTAGTTGTCCTGGGCACTCCAGGAAGCTGAGAGGCATCACTGGCCTCCTCATAGTAGAGGTCAGCAGTGTGCCTCCACTGGACCATGATAGCCAAAGGTGCCTCTGGACACTACGAGCCATCCTCGAAGCCTAGAACAGCAAAACCTGCACTCTACTGAGTATAATCCCACCACAGCAAAACAAGAAGCTTCCCTCAGAGATCAAATGCTTGAATCCAAGAAAGCACTCTCCGCCAACTACTTTCCTCTGAGTTCCAAGAGTAGCATCTTTTCTTGGGCCATGCTATAAGCTTGGGTTATCCAATCATCAGATCCAAGTTGCTCAACCCTGACTCTCTGAATGTGAATGAGAAGAATAAGCTTTTCTTTTCTTTAGAAATCAGGGCATCACTATGAAATACCTAAATGATGAAACGTTATATAAGTGAAATAAAAACTATTCAATCTTTTCAAAAGCAAAATGGTCAAAGCAAGATACTCTATGATGACAAATATGGAACTATTTCCTTCACATATAGTTGCAGAATCATAGAGAAACACACCTCCCTCTCCCATCTCTTAGGCAATGTCTCATCTTATTTGACCTGGCTGACACTTTAAAAAAAATCTTTTATTTTATGAAAGAAAAGTAAAACAAAACTTCATAACAAAATAGTAGAAGCAATAGTTAATACATTGAGTACTATCATCTTCTTTAAATCTTGTTTTAACAAGGGTGGAAACTTGTTTGATTGTTTGATCATTTTTTTCGTGCCTAAATCTTGTCATCTGAATAACTACTTCTAAGATAAGAATATGCAAAATATTAACTAGTGCTAATTTCCTATTTTTTTTTTGGTTGGCACTTTTATTGTTAGATCCTCAAACTTTGTAAAGCAATTAAGAGTGGAGGTTAGTTTGCTTTGAGTCACTTTATATAAACAACTTAAAGAAAAGTTTCTTTGGTCTCAGGATTTAAAGAAGTTTGTTTTTTAGTTTTTTGATACCAGAAATCAAACTCACAACCTTGTGCTTAGCAGGCAAGCACTGGAGCCTCTGAGCTAAGCCCCCAGCCCCTTAAAGAAGCTTCTGTCCGTGGTGATGAAGCTGCATTGATTCAGGGTCTCTGATGAGGCAGAAATATCACAGCAGACCAGCAGGGTGGGGCAAAGATGCTCACCTCATGGAGGCCAGGAAATGGAGCAGTTTATAGAGGAAGGACCCAGGAACAAGATACATTCTCCAAATTATGTCCCTGTGACCCGATTCCTCCTACTATGGCTTGTGAGATTACAAATGAATCAGTGGATCTATCCTTTTATGAAATAAGAGCCATTAGGATCCAGTCATTTTCTGAGAGACTCACTGCTGAACACATGAGACTGCAGGATGTTTGAGACCTAAACCGTAACAGTGTATAGTTTCTTAATATATAAATGAAGGAAAGAGTTGGCTTGCTAGTTGCTCTCAGTGATTCACTTAGGAAAAATTGCTCATGGCATGGAGTCTGGACACTGAGGATATGTATGTGTGTCACATTCACTTTCAAGGACAGAGGGGACTGTTTGCACGTGATGAATAGTGATGGTCTTAGATGACTCATCATGATTAACCACTGCTCTTCTCATGGAGTTCTGCTACATGACACCCTTGTGTTTTATTGATAGTTTAATACATTCAATTCACATAAACCATACACAAAGCCTGGGAGCAAAGGATTTAGTCACTGGGAGAAGCTCATCCTGTTCTCTTGCTAGAAAGAGGACAGAAATAAAACCCCCTCTTAAAATTATTATTATGCAACTAAAGACCTCCAACGGCTGCCTGCTGACCCCTGAGAATGGGCACATGGATAAAGGATCACATGCTTCACAGGTGATGGTGGTCACCTCCTTTCACGTCTGCAATGTAAAACCTCTTAGCAAAGCACCTTCGATACAGGCTCTGAACACCAACTCTGGCAGCGGTGCTCAGAGTCACCTAAATCTGAACTTTCTACACATGCTTATTTTACAAGGAGCAAGCAATGGCCCACGATGTGAATGGGTTTTTAAAAGACCATACCGAGTAGATGACCAGGCTACCAAATGTTCCTATCACTGAAAACACCACCGCTTCCCTAGAAGAGCCAATCTGGGACAATTCTCCATTGTAACTGCCATCTGTGAACTCATCTTTTGGATAGTGCTCTGGGCTCCACCTTCAGATCTGCTGGAGAAAGATTCCCATTATGCAGGCACATGTTTGTCCGAACAACATACACCTCTGCTTAAATGGTGGATGGGTGTATAAAAAGATAAAGTGTCCGATCTCTGATACCACGGCAACAATCATAATAATGGACTCCTCTTTCAGTGAAGTGAAGTCAAGGGACGAGAAAAGACCTAGATAATTCA